ACTTATTTACAAATTATTTTTAAGTTCTTCCCGACGCTTCCGCACAGAAGCTGCCGTTGTCACGGGGTCACGGCTGCTGGAAATCACCAGATCCGAATATAAATCGCGTTTTAAGCCGTTAGTGTTTTATTTAAATAATTAAGTATTTTGAACACTATAATTATTTCACATGATGGCTGTCCTGCGCCTGCCATATATTTTTTATATTTAAATCGATTTTTAATTTAGATAATTAAGTATTTTACAATAAGCACATGTTCAATCAGTATTGTTAGCTATGTGAATCATGTACCTATATAATTAATTATATTTGCACGTTATCTTGGAACTTAATGCCAATAAAGGCGGATATCTTAAGTCAATAGAAAAATATGTTTTGTGCTAATTAGATTGAATTATTGTCTTACCTCACCATTGATGTATCTGACCCACATCGCAAGACAATTTAATTACAAAATAAATATCTTGACTCGTTGCGAAAAATGTTAGATTACAGATTTAAAGTATGTTGCTACATTTCAGTACAAAGCGTTTTCACAATTCGACGAAAATTTGAACAGGCATATGAGAGATATTATGTACTAAATAGTATATTGTTTATCAAAGTAAGTATTTCACAAGTTGCGTGTACGCGAAGTAACAGCAAAAGCTACTTTAGGCATACAATTTAGAAGAATTAACAATACAAATATATATATTTGCTTTTTAAATGTCAGTTTCTGTTTGTCCCTACATTAGTTTAATTTTATTGAATGGGTATTAATAAATAATGCGTTTATAGTTAAACTCTAACAATATATACAATTTCGACTATTGAAGTGGTAAACCTAGCCTTTATAATGACCGTATTAACTTTGTTGTATGTAAAGCCTTGTGGAAGAAATAATGTGAGTTTAAGAAATGGTTGTTATTCAGGCTGTTGGATTACTTAAATAAAAATCATTACTCAATCGCTGGTGTTCGTGTTCAGCGACGCGGAGTCGCGACGCCTATAATATCTACCGAGAAACGAATAAAGACACGAAAAACATTATATGTCAAGAGGCGTAATTAGTAATGATTACTGCATCACGAGGAAAAGGCAATTTTTTTTTTGACACGGGTCACGAAACGGACGCGAAATTAACATGAACTGTCGCCGAGACGATTACAACACTGTGAAAAGCTGAACTGTTGTGTGTTATGTAATTAATGGGAAATGAAGATGGTTCCTATACAACTCACTATAAATGCGAAAGTTCGTTTGTATGATGTATCGTAACTCTTACTCGTCTAAAAGGCTCGACCGATTTTCATAAAATATCATAATAGTTTTAGGAGAGATGGAGCCATCGAACATCGCATACAAATAATCATTTAAGTCCTTTTAACGTTACCGGTTGCATAATGATAATGATGATAAATAACAGAATAAAGATATATTTAAGTGATAATTTACTTGCAGGAAGGAAATCCAATTAATACAGTTCCAGAATATCGCTTGTAAGAGTGAAAGCTCAAACAGACGACCGGCCTTGAAATCGGACCACGACAGTTGATATCGGATGTCGCAGTTAATAAACTCAATTCGTCACTTTTCAATTAAGCCTATTAATTTAATTTCGAAATAAGGCTAATTGAACTAGAATTTGGAATACGTCGTGAATGCGGATATATTTAACGTAAAACTGGACAAAGACATGCTAAATAAAGTACTAAACAAGGAAAATGTATCACATGAAAAATCAGTAGGAACATCACAATAACTTATGATCTACTTAAATATTCCGGCGGCGTCCGGACTTGATTAAAATAAGATGTCCCACGGCATAGCAGAGTCCAGCGAACAATACCTATCGAGACATATTCTGAACAATGGTCGCAGTTACGATAGGAATCGCCAATTCGTTAGTGACGTTTATGCATCCTTGACAACGAGTTATTGTCGCGGACAAGTATGCTACACAAAGCTTTTGTAGAATGCGTATATTTAAATGAGGAATAGGGGAAAAACTCGGGTGTGAACGACCTGGGACCCATTTCATTTAAAGTGTTTAATAGTCTGTCGCAACGAGACGTTTCCACTAGAACAATGGCTAATTCCTGCCTCGGCACTATCGTCACACTATTCTTTTACAGTCAATTGACATTTTTAAGCTAGGACATCACCATTTGATGTATTAGCGGAATTGGGTCCCAATAGCTCTTTACCATCATTAAACTCGTCAACTTCACTACAAAGCTCGCGAAACAATCCAGCGACTCGTGATGAATGTACACCACGTAATACATTTACGACATCAGTAAATAATTCTACAATGTCCATAGTAACATGATCGTAAATGGTGTTCAAATAGACGCACCCCGATATCATTGCGAAGAGGACTGGCACGGAGAATCGGCATTCGGAAGGTGTAAATTCGGACAAAAACGAAAAATCAACATTAGCTTCAATTACATAACGCAAATAGGTGTATGGGAGTCGCTCGACAAACCGTGTCAATATCGCGTAAAATATTTCGTGAGGAAGACCCTGATTGGTGTTCTAGCTGACAGACGAAAGGTCCATTTAACCTTGGTGGATGAACGCGATAAGCGTGCAAGTGGTCTAAAACAAAGAAGATTACACCTAAGTTGACAGTTGTATTTGTCTGAATGCAAATTGTTTTATGGCTGACTCCTTAATGATACCAGAAACAGAATGTCCAATATTTATTTAAACAATTTGTAGCTGATTAAACTTTAATATGGCAACAATTAAGAACGTTAATTACGCATTCTTAAAACGAATTAGATTATCTAAGGTTAGCTAATTATACTTTGTAATACTAAATTAAATGTTAGGTACGTAAAAATTAGGTGATTTCAACACAACAAATATATTTAAAAGTTTCTGATATCGATCTATCGACAATGATACTAATCGATAAACATTTTCCTCTTTCATCTACCGAGTGTACAGGAATGGAATTATAAGACGAAATCAAAAATTAATTTAAAGATGACCGCGAGGCACTTTCACCAGAGGTCGTCAGCTTTCGGTGGCTTGCTTGTTTCTCTACACAATCACTCTCCAATGTTTACGTACGTACCCGTCGATGATATCACCGTCTCTCTCTTTTCGATACGATAGAGAAAGGCAGCATCGTCTACCCGCACTCTAGTCGCTGCGGTGCGCGGTCTACTTCCCACATTTTGTATTCTCTTTTTATGTAGGGCGAGAACCTGAACGTGACTTAATGACCCAAATTCCATTCGAATTATACGATCGAAATATCGATGTCTATGTGTTCTAGAATTTAACACCACGGAGACATATTTGCGTATAATGTAACGATATTCAATATGCAAATTCTAAGACAACGTTGGCATGTTACGTTCAAACAATATCCGTGTATACCCAATATTACCTATGTCAATACACAAAGGTAAATGGTGGGATTTTAATGACGTCCGTGATTCACGAAGTCGAAATAGTTGCTTAAGCTCGATATATCGTAAAAGGCGAAGAAAGTCAAGTGGAAGTTACTCATCGGTTAAATATGCTATAAGACCTCTGACTAAGCTAACACCAAGTTGAATGGCGTTGTAGTGGCCTACATAAGACAAGTCACTCGGTTGTTATTTCTGCAAACGGTCAATACTACGAAAAAAGTTGCATGGAAGTCAAAAATATACTAACAATTTCTAACTGTAATTTACGCCAGCACATTAAAAACTAGTATACACGCGTTTTATTTTTGAGCTAATTAATTTAATTACGACTGGTGGGCTACTACACTTAATCATAGCAATTCTCAAGAAAAAAACCTGTAATATTTAGTGGATGGTTCTCTTATTATGCTTAAAAGTTAACTGTCGTGATTTCATTCCCCATTGGTTAGGCCCATTCTAATCAATTTGAATTTTTTTGAAACGTGTTGGACTTGGTCTGGAAATTTGGATATTATTATTAGGAATATCAAATTCCGTCTGGCTCACGAATCACCGTCCACGAATTGAATACCAATATTAATATCCAAAGCCCAAAAAGGTCGACAGCATATCTTCTTTAGATGCTATAAGGTTGGGGCATTTCACCTACCATCACGTGAAACATGGACTTGTCTGTTCGCTCAATCATAAAAAAACCAATTCATTCAATCTACTCATTCCGATCACTCCTTTCTGACACATACCAACGTGCCTTAGCAACGAACCGAGTGTCCAAAAACCCAGGCGTAATTATCCATTCAATAAGACGACCTACACATACATATTTAGCGATCCGGAGCCACCCAACATACCATTCACATACTGGACATTGGCGATACTGAAGATCGACTGCCCGAAGGTTACCGCTGTCTATTAAATCTGGCTTGATGTTACAATAACGTTAGTCTTAATTTTCATATATTTATTATAAGGTATTCGTGTCACGGATTATTCCCGATGTATGGGCGACATTACTGCACACCGAGTTACATACAAATCGTTGGGACCTTGTAAAGGTTGCATTATATTCATATTTATAAGTTATATCCATATTATTCACTATATTTTTCAAACTTTTAATCATTATGAAAGCGTCCTTAAACTTGGGAGAATGTAATACCAACTGAAAATGACTGGACTATAACGCTACATTGGGGTTGTTTATCTATGTAATTTTAAATAAAATGACCGTCTCCGACTAGGCTTTTAACTCTTATACATTCAATGGAAATATTTTTCCTTCGACAAAAATCGTTATCGATTATTCAATTACTATTGAATCGGTTTTTTTAAATAAGATGTATGAATTTATAGGAAATCTATATGCTATGTTTTTCTAGTGATATTCTCTTCCTTTACACCCAAAATAGCTAAAATATTATATTGTATTCTTAGTCTCAGCCATCTTATGGTCCTGCAAGGGTTTAATGACTGGACTATAACGTGTAACATCAAATAAACCTTGGCGCATCTCGTAATCTCGCTTCTGGTATGCGGCATGAGTGATGCATTGCGTAATAGTTATATTGAGGTGTCTTGTAACCTACCTTCTTGTGATTCCAGAGCACGTTGACGGAGGGTTTACCGCGGCGGAAGTCGCTCTGGTCGATGACGTCATCGTGGATGAGTGAGGCTGAGTGGATCATCTCGCTGATCATCGCTACCTGCCGCTGAGATGGCAGCAGTGCACTGATGGGAGAATAATTATATTAATAAACCGTCGAATTGAACCAAGAGAGACACATGTCACGTCTGATCTTTACGGGCTCGTTGGTCTAATGTTAGCAATTTATGGCTAATAATCGGATCGTGGGTTCGATCGCCACTAGGCCACGCCACTCCAACATGTTCTAATTTTCCATTTTATAGTTTTTCTCAAGTATTGAACTTCGTCTGAAAATCATCTCATCATCAATCATCATATTAATGGGTGGTACCGTCCACAAATAAAAAGCAGTGAATCTTAATCGCGTTTCGGCTTCAGGCTGTAGATTTCCAAATATCTAAAGCCAAAATTGGTCGACAGCGCTTCTTGTTCAGATGTTATAGGCTGGGGTATAACACCTACCATCATTTGAAACCCATGTCATGTCTGTCTTCCTATGTCCTCCTGTCTATCATAAAAAAACTTCATTTGCTTTTCTGTGTCAGGTGAAATGATGTATTAAAAAAAAGTCTCCAGCACCCAGGTGCAAGCAATTGAAAAAAAAAACCATTGCTGTTATTCATTAAAACAAATAAATAAGAAAAGTTGTCAAGCTTAGTAAAAATCTAGTAATCATTTTTAATATTCCAATTTCAAATACGACGCCAAAGAGATCTTATATTTAGATTTCGTAAAGCAATATTTCTGCCTGAAATGCGTAACCTTGAGGAATTTTCTTGAGTCACGTTATGCAATAGTATTTTCCCAGCCCATTATCACATATATGGCATTAGGGTACTAGTGGTACCTGCCTCCACGGTACATAAACGAAGACGCGCTAATTATATGACATTACATAAATATAATTTATTCTCTGTTTAGTTTAAGCATGAATGGCGTGTTTACAAGACCCATTGTAATACATGTTAATACTAATGGATATGTGTAGTAAATGTAGGGATTGCGTAAAATTATGCAATTAGAAACATTTAAGTGCCATTTTGAATAGGGAAAAGTGTTTTTCTTTCAAACTTTTTTTTGCAATCTTCATGCAGTAAAATATTGATTGAAATAATAAAATATGTATATTAAGTTGCTTTAAAAAATTCTGCAAAATAAAAAGAATAATTTCAATACTGTCTGTTATATTATTCTTTAAATATTTATTCAATTATAACATTGACTCGTTTTGCAATAAAATGTAATAATAGTATAATTTTAAGATGAGGCGTCCAATTGTGTTGTTATATTAGCTATTTCTTTTCCTAGTAACGTATTATGAGTCATAGCTAACCCGATTACAAAAATATGCATAAAAGCTTGTAAATCAAATATTGTAAAATCTCTTTTTCCCATGGGCATGAAGCGAACACATTTCTGTACCCTTTTAAAGTTTTTTTTACCGAGCAAGTAGTTGTTCATACTTCTGCGCCCTGCCTAATCAACAAATTTATTACTTCCCGAGATTCGAATTTTAGACTTCCGAACATAATACAATTCTAGGCAACGCGTTTAAGCATTCAGCTATAGAGGCAGTGAAGTAAAACAAATGAATTATTCATAAAACCACAATGTATGAAACGTGAAAAACTCGCTGATGCTGAAAACCTAAAGCCGGGTCCTTGCCACGTTACGTATAAAAATCGGTATGCAATATTAGAACATTTTATAAATAATTCTAGCCACAGGCGTGGTCTCGCACGCACCTTACATAAACCGTTGAATATTCGCCACGTGTATTACTTAGGGCAAAACGCGAATATACGTGCGAGTAATATATTAAGATCGAATTATGGATGCCTATTTTAATCAACGTACCCAAGGATATCTTAAGATATGCGCGCAGATACTTCGTACACGCTTAAATCATACAAAGCGAGGACGATACGCACCGCGGCGGCTGACAATACGCAATAATATCCAGTAAACTATTAGCGATGCGCAAGCGCAGAGCTTAACAATATGTGCGTAAATCTAAGAGATAAGAATGATAACTTGATTGATTTAATATTCAAACTCTGTGGCAGTTTATGTAATATATTTAGTGTAAGAGATCCTGGTTACTAACAAATAAACATTTAAGCGAGTCGAGTAACATCCTGTCCGCACGCAAACGAATAATGTGGGATCGTAATTCAAATACACTAGTTTATAAGTAAACTACGTATTTTGAAAACTGTTTTATTTAAAGTCTATCATCTCAGGTATATTGGTGGAGGAAAGCACACAGGTCGTAGGCTCGACTGGTCAGTTTTTTAAAAATCTTAAATACATCTGACGCATAGGTGTGAAAAAGGCTTTAGGTTTTAGTAGATCCCTTACCTGTTTTCACCGTAAACGTGGTAGTTGACAGCTTTCGCCATAAGTATGGCGACCATCGGCCTGAGAGCTTTTCCTTGGCCATCGAAGTAATATGTAGCTATGGTATTCAATTCTGGCTGATTTGTGTTTCTCTCCAACTCCTGCGGGTCAAAGAAAGTCCAAATTGATCACGGATTCTGACAAATCAAATTAAATAAAAAATTATCAACGTCAATACAATTAAAAAATAAAAACCCTAAATTTGCATTTACCGCCCAAATTAAGGAACAAGAAGAACTGGCAATAAACTCGCTGACACTCCTTTTCTAGTTGAGTTTTTGTTCCAACTTCTTTACGCACTTAATGTGTACATTTTTTTTTCATGTTAGAGCTCAACTCCAATTTTCAGCATTTACACATTGAGTTACGTTATAATATTTCTTTGAAGCTCAAGATGCGACAAGCTCGTTGGTAATGGTACTAACGGCTCGTGGGTTTACTGTCTACTTAATCCAACACGGTATTTTTACAACATGCTGTTACGAGGTTAAGAAGGTAAATGCAACGTTTGGACATTTTTCACAAGTATAAATGTCTAAACCAATAAACGTAGATAGTGCTCTTGTTTGATTTAATGTAGCATTTGAGCGCCACGCTTAAGAAATTAAAGAGTGAACCACACTTTACTTGTCCAGCGTTTAGACTACATCATCCAAATTGTGTAATATTTATGTCGTAAATCTCAGAGGAAATTACTAATGCATTTGTCCTCGCGCATTCTATTGTATTGCATACTGCAACCCGTGTTTAAAACGTTTAGTTTGAATTAAGAAAATGTATGTTGTAAGGCGAGACAAGATGGTTGGTCATTGTAAAATCTTAATGACCTTCTAACCTAACAAAATTGAATGTTTCATTCATACTTCTCGTGAACTTAACATGAGTTTTGAAAGTCGTGTTTGGACAATTTAATAATCTAGTTTAAATGAAACACTTTAACGGTTTAAAATGTCATATATATTAGTTGAACTTATTTGTATATTATTTTAACTGCAGCCCGACGCGATCACGGGGAGACCGAAAAAAATATATTTTTTAATAAGTTTAAGCGATAATATTTCACGTTTTAAACCGATAAAGTGTTTCATTTAAATGTGTACTACTCGCTTAAGTTACAGACTGCGTTTAATAATCTATTTTAAAGAAGGTATATCCAGAAAATTAAGCTTTCAAACTATATTAACTCAAAGATGACATATGTCTTGTGTTCCATAATTAGACAGTTCATATATAGCGTTTTCAATGTCGCCGCTGATCTGTAGATTTATTAGTATTGAATTGTCAATGTCAAACCATTACAACACTATTTGCCATGCAATGTGTTCATTAGCGTGCAGCAACACTGCGGTCGCGTCGCAGCCATTTGAAAATCAGTTTAGAAGGTTATAGACCGCGTTATGTTTTAATATATAATTATATATTTAAACAGTTTAATACGCGAAATAAATGGCGTAATTCAAGTTAGCTTGTACGCCGCTTTTACGCCCTCCCGCGGAACGAATGGAAACGCCGCATCTTAGCTTCAAATGAAACTAACACTGTAGTTTGCGTTTGAAAACTTTACTTAATAATTTTCACATGTTATTGCGCATGATGGCATTATAAAAATTAAAAGTCTGTTTAGTTTGAAACAAAAAACAAACAAGGGAAGGACCCGTAGATCAATTGGTTAAAACAGCAGCGAGGAACGCTGTGGATGCCGCTTTAAGTCCCGTGTCTTAAGTTTTTTTTTCAATCATATCTTTAATGTGTAGTGTACGAGTAAACGTACAGATGCACCGAGATAACGTGTAAACTACGGTTAAGAGGGAAGAAAGTTGTGCGTCACGGTAGGCAATTCGAAAAGAAGGTCATCGCTCGTTCACTGCACTTTACGCTTGACATCAGAATACGATTTACAGAAACAATATTGCATCAAGGTCGAACTGGATTAGGCAGGTTTGATGCAATTTCATGATTTCGAAGACATGTCTTTATAAGGAATGGATTAGAAATAATTGCTTCTCAATACAAAAAAAGGCGAGCTGAAGTTCGCTAATGTAAGCATAATCTAAAATTTGAATTAACGGTCTTACTAGCGGACTTAGCAGAAGTAATTTTACCATTTGATTACCATAAAAACGATATTACCTATTGGTCGTCTAATACTTTACAGTCGATAACACCTTCGTCGATAAATGGTCCAAGTAACTAAAATATTTTTTTCAAAAGGAACCAGTAGTTTTTGTGATTAGCGCGATGAAACGAACTCTTCAGTTTTATAATATTAATATAGCTTTAGTTTTTGTCACAACGATATGAATTAGGATATAGAAGAGCATGTTCCACACCTCCCTATAAATACCGAAGTGGACAGTGTCGAACACCACGACGAACGCTTTCGTTTAGAATTTAGATCTACATAGGCGTGCAATATATGTATACCCACCGTCAATAAAAAAACTTTACATAAATCTCAACGATAAAAGCAGTAAAAACTCTTATACGAGTTTAAGTATACTAAGACTAGTCAGCTTATTCGCATCCTGTTACAAAGCAAGTCAAGGCTATAAGATTGATGAGCAAAACTAAGTTTTGCAACTAACATCTTGAGATAAGTGTAATTATAGAGCTTACTGTGCGTCGATTAAAAACTACATGAACGATATTAAGTAACTTCCATTTTAACAGTTAATTACAAATAAATAAACCGACGAAGGTTCTTGGACGGAGCCAGGTAGACAAATTTATATAGTAACCTTCTTTGTTTATTTCAAGTTCTCAAAAGATAAAGGAGGTAAAAAACAGAAAACTAGTGATCAGTTTAAGTAATAGGGTTCATTTTTTATCTCTAAAATACATACGAGAGGCTTAAACCCAAATCGAAGCGACCTACAAAATAATTGCTTAATTGTCGAATAATCTATCCTTTCGTAAAAACACCTATTGACATAACTTTAATTACAAAGTAGGGAATGAAACTTGATCACACACACATTTCGAGGCGAAGTTGTATTTTCTAAATATGTAGGAAACATTTAGAAAATGCGACCAGCTTTTATAATACGCACGTATACAAGCCTAGTTCGAGACGAGTTTTCCGTACAAGAAAGTAGGCGAACTACTCGCCGCTATCATTTCTATAAGCCGTAACAACGCTAACTAGTTTTTAATTCTATTTGCTCATTCACTGATTTCTACTTGTTTTCTCTCAAAACATCTCTTCTAAATTATTTACTCTTTAGTAAGGTAGATTCATACCTACAACGCATATATGACACTAAAACACGTGTTTATCATATTAATAAAATGATTCGATTATGTTTAACATTAAAAAAAATATATATTTTTAGTGTTATCCTTATACTCAATTATAATTGTCTCCATTTACAGAAATCGCCGTTTTTCGCTACATACTTTTGTAACTCCTTATGTACCAACTACTACGCTAATGGGTAATATGTTAAAAAAAAGATGGGAAATATGTTTAAAAAAAATATTTCCCATCTGAACTGTATTTTATTTACAGTAAAGAGTGTATTTTGGTGGAGGAAAAGGCTTCTTTACCATTTATGCTTTTAAATTATTTATAATAAAACAGCTAAGTTCGGTTAAAATTAAGATATTTACTATACACTGTTCGATCGATTTAAGAAGAAGTGTAAAACCTAACAATAGACGACAATCTATGCTTGATTAAATAAAATCATTGAAAAAAAAAATTGTCTGACAATCCGTTTTCGAATACGAAAGCAAAAGTGTGACACACAATTTTTATATTTTGATATACCCATAAACAAATATAAAAAATGACGAGTTGAATATTACAATCGCCTGTCCTTGTGGTTTTATATTTGAGACATTTATAAATGTATTTATGTTATGTATTTCATCAATACGTGTAATGCATGCGCTACGAAATCTCATTTGCATTCTCGTAACGCTGCTACGATTTGTAGCATTAGCGTAGCTCTTCTACGAGTAAATATGTATTACAAAATAAGAAATTATATTTATATGTTTTTTCTAACGATGATTGTTCAATAAAAATTGAAATAAGTTAAGATTTTTTGAAAGATAGCATAGGCTTGAGGTAGTGGAAGGAATGCCCTATAAAAAAATTAAAGATCAAAACGTAAATTTACATCTGAGAGCTTTTTCATTTATGGACGTTTGTTTGTGACTTTAACCGAATTTCGACATCCCCACCCTTAATTTTATCTGGGTCTAATGTATTTTGAAAAATTATGACATGGTTTTGAAAACCGTTGAGAATGAAGCCTACGAACTGAGGTATATTAGCTATACATTGCTACTATTGCAGTAACGAGTAAAAAAATAACGGATTTTTAGTGACTGCCGCATTGAAAGATTTCTTTTTAAAATCGATAAAAGCCTAACGAATTCACAGCTCGGATGACGCAAATCTCGAAGGCCTCAATCGCCTGTCATATTCAGCAGATTTATTGTTAATCATTTAATCAACAATTGTTTAAGTATTAAATTATTAATGGCATCGCCAATAAACTATTAAACATTAACAAAGGAAATCTATTATGTTATAATAGTTGTGTCGTACCATCGACATCTCAAAACGGCATTGCACAACCGACGACCGCTCGCGTGTCAACACGTCATGACTTTGACACAATTAAACTTAATAGTGGACACCACTTGACCTTTTTTACATTCAAAATGTAGTCAATACACTCGAGTAACATTGAAGTTATTCTAAACAATTCTAAAATACATAATATTTAATACTTTGCAAGCACTCACGTTTATCCGCGGCACTCGTATTCGTACGACTTTGAAATCGTGGGTAGAATTTGGATGATACTTATTTTGAATTCTAGGAAAACGTTTATACTTTAACTACTTAATCAATTGTCACAGAAGTTGAAGTTTCTTTAAGGCTAGCATGAAACGTTGCAAGGCCAACAAATGTAATACTTATAGGTAATTGTGCGTACAGTTTTGCAAAAACTACGACAAGACATTGTGCTTTAGTATACCAATTTAAAATTGTCATAAAGTTGATCGCACTCGTTTTAAACACTGTCTGTAGTTTACGACACATTTGTAACTACGGCTGTTGCAAAGCTGTGGTTAAAATCATTTTCAAATAAGTTTAACTAATATATCGCGTTTTAAACCGTTAGTGGTTTATTTGACCACACTCGTGATTTATTTATTTACAGCAATTAAAACGGCAATAGCCAGTTATATTAATTGGATACACACATATTTATACAATAACAAATAAAATAGTTTATCTCAAATTACATTAGGAGATAATCACACTCAAATATTGGATTCAATATTAATTATTGACGAATTGCTTTCTTAGAGAAATATAACTGTACGTAAACAAATGGATGCTCACCGCTCGTATATCTTCGTATATGCCGTTGAGGTCGTCTTCGAGGAGGCGGTAGGGGTCAACGATCTGTGCGCCGTAGTCGGGCAGGGAGCCAGTGCTTGTGCTCTGCATGCTGGAGGCGAGGCGACGCATCGTTCCCGAGGACACGAGCCCGGCGGAGCCGCATGACGGTCCACATGTGGTCACACGCTGGAATAACAATGACATCAGTCAGATTTCGTATTTGAAAGAAGCATGTGCTATTTTGAGCTGGAAAACCCTAAGAAATATTGATACCATAAAACGATATAACCCAATTCTTTCGTGGGATATAGGGCAAACACATTTCTGTGCCCGTTTCACTGTCATCAGTTTTATTTACAGTTGATAAGACTCTAGTGCTCTACTCGACCGAAACAATTTATTATTATGAACACATTTAACCAATTACCTACGGATTCGATACTTAGTAAAATACAGTATTTAATATACACAAGTCAAATTATTTTTAAGTCTATTAGACTTATCCTATAATATTTTCTACTGTCCTAGGCGTTATATTTTTGCTCAATATTTTTTGGTTTATCACAAATAGACAGGTATACTTAAGTGTTGCGGTTTACGCGAGTAGTACGCAATTTAAACGGTTTAAAACACGAAATATTACTTAACTACAAATTATTTTCAACTACGGTTCGTTGTTTCCGAAACTTAGCAGCAGCCGTGGCCACAGGGTAAAGTTGGCGTAAAAAATCGTTAAAATGTTTTATTTAAAGGCATATCTAGCTCAGTATGAATTGAACTTTTGTTAATTATAACCGTCTAAGGTTACCGGGCGGATTCTTCGCAGAATTCCCATCAACATACAAGGTGCTGTGAAAAAAAGAACGCCTGCGTGTTTATCTCGGTTGCGAAACACCTAATTAACTTGCTTAGACCGTTATCGCTGGTACTTCGCAACACTTAACATTCGAACTAAATGTCATTGGTCACTGTGGCAAAGAATTGCGGGCAAAACTTCTCGTCGGTACACATTCGATAGTGGGTAAGGTGCGGCTATGCCCTTAGCAGCGGCGGCAGTGACCGCGATCCGAGTTTTGCAATTGGTTTATGCAACTGCAGCGGTGCAGTCTACACCTGATGGGCTCCGGGCTCTTGCAAAACAGCCACACGCATGCGCCGTGCACGAATTCGTACGTGGACCGCGAGGACTATGCGCGAGACCTTTTACGAGCCTTCGAAACTGTATCGCGAACATTAAAATTAATTTTTAGATTACAAACGCGTTATTGCAGTTAAAAACAAAAGCACATCGCTGTGCTTAAGGTGAAATTGTATAAATATCCCACTATACCATTGATAAGTTACTAATGTTACTAATATCATCCGAAGCCAAAATGGCGCATCTTGTGTATATATTATATAACCGGGGTATTCTACCTTCCATTAAGTGAACGATAACTGTCTGTCCCTAAAAGAAAAAAAATCCGCGGAATTAAAAACGCTTACAATTTTGTATACAACATGTACAACATTCCTAAAAGTCTATAAAATTATTACTAACGATGTTTTATTTCATATAAACAGTATAAAGAAGCTCCATTTGTAGCTCACACGAGTAGTTTATTTATTTACATTTTAAATAAAACTACATTTAACGGTAAGTAACTCGAATTTTATTTAACGTAACGCCTTTTAGTACGACAGAATATATATCCTAAATATAAATCGCGTTTTAACCCGTTTACACTTATTTAATACATTCACACGTAGTATTCGAAACTAGTTGTGACATAGGGCTAGGAATAATTAAAACATGAACCATGTACAATAGCGCATACATTGACGGTTCATACTCAGAGCGACATTAAAATAATCGCTGTTTTTGTATAAACAATTACAAGTAATACTTTAGCGTAACCTCCTTTTACATTTTCAATGACCGCATCAACTTCAGCAATCTATGAGTAATAACTATTATTTGTAATGGACAGGAGGTTTCGTTGGAAATAAATTGTTATTATCCTGTAAATAACCTCACGTATAATAGTCATAGTCAAGCTCTAATTCGTGTGAAAAACGAAAATATACTATCGTTAGTGTTAATAAAAATGATTACTGTATTATAAGTGACAGCAATTTAAATTTCGATAAAAAGTGTATTCATATTAACTTTTGACTGTGCATAAAACAGAATTGTCAAAGATCAATGTGAAATGTAAAAATACTTAATATTTTGAAAACAACTTAACAATTTTTTTATCATCAGAAAATGACAGAAACAGGTAAGATTTTAATAAAAAAACAACTTATCGTAGGATAAAGACATTACAGGGTAATTCTAATACCATAGAAATACGAAATTATTACATTATATTTATATAAAATAACATATCCCATGAAGTGATGTTTTTGTCAATTCAACCCTAGCTAAACTGCATTAATTTGATAAGGGCTAGAATGTCATAGCGTAAAACATTAAAATAAAATGTAATGTTTTATTATGAATTATCAGAATTTATAGTCGACCTTTTAACGGTGGTTTAAATCCATAAAAAAATATGTAACTAACAACCTAAAAAGAAAAACCACAATAACGTTATGTTTGTTGATGTTCAAAGCTACAGAGGTATTTTTCGATTCATTAGCACCAAATACGTGCTACTACGTCACTGCCATTCAATGTAATGAAAAGAAAATCGTGAACTCATCCATTGAACGTTATAACAAATGAGGTGTCGAAATATATTAAAGCCATCCTTTTGGCGATCTCTAACTCATTATGACACCTCGTGCGCAGAATAATAAGTTTACTTCCAAGTGATTTCACAAATTATGACACTACAATTAATATCAATGTAGCTATTATATTCGTTGGTGGTTTCTTTTTTTATGATAAAGAAGGACAGACCAGCATAGAATAGACGCAACATTAGATGATAGGTAAAAAATACCCCAGCTAGCATTACTCCTCGACGAAGGTCCGCTGTAGATTTTTTTTGGCTTTGGATAGTAATTACAGACTGAAACTGATTTTTAATTTAGTGGTCTATCTTCGGGAATACGCGGACCTAGCGAAATTTTGTCCATAAATATTTAGAAATATGTTGGACCCGGTGGGGATGGAATCCACGTCCCATTGCACACACCATTAGGCCAACCTAAAATAATTTGTAAGTAAGTTGTTTTTTTTTTTAAAATTTTAAAAATTTTGCAAAAAACGAATGTCAAATACTTATTTGAATTAATCGCTTACGAATATTTGACATTTTTCATTATATATCGACAGACATTAATTTAGACTGGTCTATAATCTTCTAAATCAATAAACAATCTAAAAAAACAAAGACCAGAATGTTATGTAGTATTACACAAGACGATACGAGTTTAGACGTAATGTATCAACTTTAACAACAATAGAATATAACGGCACGCCAATCAAGAATAAACAATATCTTAATAAATAAAATGTTACGTTAGAAAATGAGGGTGAATTAATACAGTGGCCAACTAAACTATATTATAGTATAAATCATCAGGATTCATAACGGGACTTCATATGCTTAACGCGCTTTAGAATTTAAAATTATTAAATACTTTCTATAGTTTCAGTACACTAAATAAAAACTTTAAGGTTTAAAACGCGAATCGTTAAAAATCATTTCAAATAATTATAATATATCGCGTTTTAAACGGTAAAGTGTTTTATTTAAATTAAAATTGTTGTAAATAACTTGACACATATGTCTCTTTGTTTAAATTATTTATTAAAATTTACCGATTAGTCGAGCACAGAAATATATCTGTCCCAGCCTCTGTATCCCACCCAAAGAAAACTGAAAAGCTTCCCCGAGTTTCGATCCTTTCCTTCTTATTCCCGTAGCGTCGCGTAATATACATTAATAAGTAATGAACCACAGTACAGATGATGTATAAAAAATCAGCGATCGACGTAATGACGAACAACTGCGCAGCACGTAAAATTGCATGTCTCTGCGCCGCACATAACAATTAAAACATGATAGAAAGTGAGTACTTAAACACTTACGATAGCGATGTTCTTAAAATAGAAACAAACAGCACGTGACAGAGATATATGACAAGATCGGTGTCAAATAAAACAAAACATTATCTAGAGTTGACCACTGTACCTACTAGCGTTTGATAAATCTTTCCGAAAATCTCAAAAGATTTTTTTAATGGTATAACGCTTTCGTAGCCACATTGCGAAGCTGTCTGGCTCAAAAGCCTAAATAGCTCGAAACCCAGTTTCTTTGTTACCTATTGTACCCAGAATGTTTATCGTAGAGATTCATCACTATTGTTTTTAGTCTAATATAGTGATTATACTTGCGTGGTTCATGATATAGTAGTAACATAATATCATGATATGTAAAAGCTTTTGTTAAAAAGCAACAGTTATTCATTTATATAAGAATGTAATCGATACGTTCTTTTGTTTTTGTTCATTCTATACGCGTTTTCTAGTGCGGCGCCCGCCAACACTCTCTTTATAGTCAACGATATACATCTGAATGATTAATTCCATATACACTGAATAATTGAATGAAAATGTCCATTATAATCGAATTCAATTTCCGTAACCCACAGTACGGAATAAATTACGACTTAACAAGAAGCGTGATGGCATTAAAGTTATGCATTCTTGAATAATTCAATACGCTGGTTTCCCCGGAGACAAATGATTTTATCCCATCACAGGGGCCGCGCATTTAATCACTTTTTTGCTCGCCAATTCGGCGCGTAATAATGTAAATACAGAGAACACTTACAGCTTCTTAATTTGCGCTTGTAAATGCAATTTTCAAGTTGGCGAGCTTTTTTGCTTTGTTATTCTGTCTGTTGAAATTACATTTAATAAACTACCTATATAATAATTAAATTTACATATTACAAGTAAGAAACTTCGAACCAAATAATGCTCTACGGATTACCGCTACGGTTCATTTGGCCGCTACAGGCTCTACAAGTAGAAGATTTAAACGCGCTAACAGTGCGCGAACGCATGCAACAAACGCAATTTCAAGGAATGCTCGATGTGACTCAACGTGTTTAATGTAACTTTCACGATGTTTAAACAATCATTAGTTTTAAATAAAATATTTCAACAGTTTAATACGCGAAATATATAAGTTAAACTTGTTTGTGTCTCCGTGATCACTGCTGCAAGAGTATCCGAAAAATGTGGT